GTTTGGTTTGTTTACATTATCTGTAACTAGACGCGTCCTCAATGGAGATAATTGCTAAAAAAAACATTTAAATTTTCAACCGCAGTAAAATAACTAACCCCGCAACATTATTAATATATTATTATTATTATTATTATTATTATTATTATTATTATTATTATTATTATTATTATTATTATCACCAGGGAGGAGGGTAAAGCGCTGAACTCGTTAAGGTCATAGAGCGCCTCGGGTTACTCCTTTTTATCCGACATCTGACTTATGCAGCTAGCCAGCCTATGGTTAGTTTTCGAAGAATCTAATAGGAGGTGTATTTTGATGAAGAAAATGATAAACAGTTGGATGGTTTATCAGACTTAAAGGAAAGTTGTCTATTGTGGCTATGTTTTACATATAGTTAGTGAGTGAATTTTCTAGATATTCAGCAGTACATACTTCCAGAACTAGCATAAAGGTTAGGCTTTCTAGGAATTATCTAAATGTTATATGTATGTTATATATTATTTAGATATTGCTCTTAGTTATGAAATTTTGCCATTGATAAGAAACATGCTCAACTAAACGAAGCAGGAAGTATGTTCTATGTCAGCAGAGTAGGAGGAGTGTTGATACTCGTTAATGTGTATTCATCTGGTGTTGTGGTGTTGCAGGTGGTGGAAGGACCAGGTCACGATCCCACAGTGAATGTGGTCAACTCAACCATCCCAGACCTCGGGGAGCTGGAGGCCACCATCAACAACCTGCTGGGCACTAGTGTCGTGTACAACAAAAATCCTCAGAGCAACACGACCATCGGCTACATCCCCCACCCTGATGGCTCCGTCGTCAACAGGCTTCTCAACAACACTATAGGTGTAGAGAACCTCAACATCAACTCGACCTCCAAGACCAATGTAGTTAATATTTTCATTATCAACATTATTGGAGGAGTGACTGGTGATAAAGATGAAACCGGCCTGCCAACGCTTCTGCCACAGATAAATCAAAGTCAGAACACTAAGGTAGGGACGCCATTAATACCAACATCTTCGTCGTTAGGCTTACCGACATCTCCATTAGGCTTCACACCCATAAACTCCATCAGGGGAGAAATAAGTGAAAATTCCGAAGGGGAATCCGACTTCCTGACATCACTTCTTTCCCCGACTTCTGTACCACTGAGTCAGTTGCCCCTCAAGCCTCCACAAGTTATCTCTACTACATCAACCTTACCTTCTGGTTTTACAACACCTCAACCGGCTCCCTCTTCGTTTACTTCTCAGTTTGGGGTATCACCAGCTTCTCCATCTCCTCCGCCAGTAGTGCCATTACCTTCCACCATAATTCCCCAAAGAGGTCAGCAATCCGGCTCTATCAGGGGCTCTCAGCTTGCCAACCCTGAAGGTATCATCCTCAATAACAACCAAGTCCTCGACCTCTTGCCCTCGTTCGTCCGAGCCACTACCATCCCGCCAGTCGTGCCGCTGTACAACACTTCATTACACCATATACTAGGAAAGAGACCTTCAGTGCTTGGTCTTCTACCTAACAGAGTGTTTGAGATTATTAGGCCTCGTATCGAGCCTTCAGATAACAAAACCTATGGTGGACTCATCCGTAAGGTAATAGTGGGTAATCTGACTAGCTATTTCCCTGCTAGTTCTTCACCAATACTTGCATTCACTGACGCTGTGTCAGAGAGGAGCACTGTGACTCCACTTTTTCCCCAGTACCAGTACCCTCCACACAATACTCGCATGCCTCCCCACGATCCTATCCCTAGCAATCCTTTCCCATTCCAAAAAAGCTTTCCTACGCGTTACTCCAGTGAGTCTTCAAATCGGCGGTCCCCAATCATTTACCCGGCTAGCTTAAGCATCCCAAAACACCCACCAACGGCGGCCATTGGGTTAGCTCGCAGCCCAAACCCTCAGAGGAGCCCTGGGACCCACCAGAACCCAATGCAGGGATTCAGTGTCGTCAGCGAATGGCAACAGAGCAAGCGTCATGATGTAAATCTTCTCAATCATACTACGATCAACAATAAAAATCATAGTCAGGAATCCGTTGCTCGAAGAACTGTTAATTTGGCTGAACAGGTGGAAGTACATAAAACAAGTCAAGAACCTGTAAAGGATGAATTGGCTGGTAAGCAAAGAAGCGACACGAAGAGCATCAATAAAAAAGATAAAATGAAGTCGTCGACAACCAAAAACATGAACGCAGGTATCACTTCCTCTGCAGGGAGCCACATGGATAACTTTATGAAAGCCGTTGCCATCGGGGCTTTACCTAGCGGGATTGCCTTTGCTTCCGCCCTCTGGCCGTACTGGGCACCCTTGGTCCTTGGGAGGAGACGTCGAGACCTCAGTGACAAGGAGGCCGCAGCACGGGCTAAAATATCTCAAGACTGGCTCAGCATCCTGACGGGAATGAAATACAAAGGAGCCGGGACAGAATTTCCTGCAGCCTGGGATAGGAAAAAGAACAATTCAAACTTTAAAAAAGAGAACTCATCTTCCATGCCTCGGCCAGCATCAGCGCAAGAACCAGCTTTTTCTAAGCTAGATGTGATAATGACTGAAAGTTTAGCACAAAAAGAGTCGTTATTCAGTCCTACTGCTTTAAAGCTTACAGAAAATGGCAATAAATTAAAGAGCGAGTCCAAAAAGGAAACCACCAAACTCGATGCTTCTACTAAACCAGCACCAGACGGGATTAAAGCAGCAGCCGAAACTAAGAAATCCGAGACCCGTGACAAACCAGATGAACCCTCATCGATGTTTACAGAAGAGGGTCAGGGAGATATCATAAGAACAACAGAGAAGGCCATGACAGTTAGACGCTCATCTGCTGCCAATCCAAGCATATCAACGACTGAAGCCAACTTAAATAACTCACTTGCCCACATAATGTTATCGCTGACCTCAGGTAATGAGGAAACTCTGGTGTACCCAGTCATCGTAGATACCGCCAGCACAACCACAGAGCAAAACAAAAAGGATGACTCCCCTGCAGACGTTGCTCTCGTTACTAACTTCCTTTACTCAGCTCTGAATGGCTGGAAAAATGGAGACAATTTTCTGTCATCTGAGAATATTCCTCTGGAATCTAAAGAGGATCTGCAACCTTCCGTTGTTGATGTCATTAACCTCGAGTTAAACACGGACCCTTCCAGAAGAAAACTCAATGTTACTAACAGCCCTATTATCGTCATCAACAGAGTACCACTCAACAGACTCGTTTCGACTACTCCTCCACCTGCCATTACTGGACCACGACCAAATACACTCATCACGATGTTTCCTGATGCAATTAAAACCACAGTTACGACCAGTCTGCAGACAGTAAGTAGTGTAAATAAGAATGATTTCGACCTTTTCCTCGATACCACCAGCCTCTTCTCGCAGACACGTCCACATCCCGGCCACAATGACTTGGATGTCACTTTCTTGTCAGAGTGGTTCACTAGACCCACAACAAGACCTTTCACTAGAACTACTTCTACCACCACTACAAGAAAACCAACCATCACAACGACAAGAACAACTACAACAACAAGGAAACCAACCACGATAACAAGGAAAACAACCACAAGAAGAATACCAACTACAACAAGACCAGTCACGACAGCAAAGACAATCTCTCCCACGAGAAGAACAACCACCTCCACATCTATAACATTCTGGACAACGGCTCCACCAAGAAAAACTACCGCTCGTTCAAGGATAACGACAACCCCAGCAAGCAAAACGACCAAAACGACACTGCCAACTACTTCATCTCCAAACTTAAGAACAGCCACCCTTGCAAGAGCAACAACTACTCCTACAACAATTACTACTACTATTACCACCACTACTAAACCAACAATCACTACTACAACATCCACAACCACAACAGCCACTACATCTACAACAACCACTACACCCACAACCACCACCACTACCCCCACAACCACCACATCGCCTCCGACCTTCTTTGACTCTATCTCCGATGTCCTCGACACCTCCAGTAACCGTCTGCGGAACGCTGTAGGCTTCGTGGGGTCGGTGGCCGTATACGGAGCGGCTGCGCTTCTGCCTCTTTGGCTGCCCATCGTCCTTGGCAAAAGACGAAAACGGGAAGCTTCCACGGAGGATGACCTTCAAGCGATCTCCGAAGCCATGATGATGATCCAAAACCCTCCTTCAGTAGCTAGCGACCTCTCACGGGGTGTTGAGAAAACAAAGCAGTCCAGGAAGAAGAAACTTACATCTCCAGGAGTCGGATCCGATAACAAAGTAACGGAACTCTACAAACAGTTTCCCTCCTTAAAGACGCTCGCTCTTTACCTGAAGAAGGAATTGCAGAATCGGGCAAAAAACAAATGAGAAAACGTTGTGCGAAGTGCTTATGTAAGACTTAAATTTTTAAACAGTATCTGTAACAACAACATATATTAACATCTCACAAATTTGAAGTGATTGCTAGGCTGTTTCAGTTCATAATGAACCATTATTAAATCGTAGGAAAGAACATTTAAGAAAGTTAGAAGTCAGAGCCGATTCAATATTTAGGCGTCAGTGAAGGTTCAAAGAACAATATACAAGTATCTAAGAAGCCGATAGAAGGGTAAATAATAAACACCTAAAATGGCAGAGGCATGAATCAGAATATTTAACTTGTCTCTCGTCAATATAATAAAATTCGAAACAATCTGGTTCACCCTTCTCCTTCCACTGATACTTTTTTTTTAGAGTAAATTCCCTTCATGCTTGATGCTGGCGAAGAGCTCTTGAGCTCAGGAATTCGAGCTATCCTCCCCTTCCTTGGATTGATCCTGATCGCCTACCAGTCACCAGGCGCTCTATAACCCCAACGAGTTGAGCGCTTCACCTGGACATAAAACAATTTGTTTACTCTGTATCGTTTTCCTCTATTTACTGAACAAACTTAAAGAACGCGAAAAAAGTGCTTCCTTTTTTCCTGTCATGTTGAAGATCATATCCATCCCACAAGCTGGTCTTCCACCAGTAACATCTTACACCCTACGAGCCTTCAGGAAGGCCGTCTTGTTGATTCCTGATGCGGGTCACATGATGACCCACAGCAGGAGCTTTTGGTCATTTGATGAGGCCTTCCTTCTTACCTGCTCCACCTTTAATTTTTTGTTATGTCATGACAACACCTTTAAATAGGGATTGTGACATTTTTTTCCCCTTTTCCCCCCAAAAACCCAAAAAAGGGGAAAAAGGGAAACCTTTTTTAAAGCCCCAATAACCAAAAAATTTTTTAAAAACCCCAAAGGGGTTTTTAAAAAAAATTTAAAAAGGGTTTTAAAAATTTTCCCCAAAAAAAAGGGAAAAAAATTTTTTTTTTGGGTTTTAAAAAAAGGGAACCCCAAAAAAAAAAAATTTTTTCCCCAAAAAAAAAAAAAAAAAAGGGGGGGGGGAAAAACCCCCAAAAAAACCCCCTTTTTGGGGTTTTTTTTTGGGGGGTTTTTTTAACTTTTAAACCGGGGAAAAAATTTAAAAATTTTAAAAACCCCTTTTTTTTAAAAAATTTTTTTTTAAAAAAAAAAAAGGGGGGAAAAAAAAAAAAATTTTTGGGGGCCCCAAAATTTAATTTTTCCCTTTTTTTAAAAAAAAAAAAAATTTGGAAAACCCCCCCTTTTCCCTTTTTTTTAAAAAAAACCCGGGTTTTAAACCCAAAATTTTCCGTTTGGTTTTTTTTGGGGGGGTTTAAAAAAAAAAATTTTCCCCCCCCCCCTTTTTCCCCCCAAAAAAAAAATTTTAAATTTTTTAATTTTTTAAAAAGGAAAAAATTAAAAAAAAAAGGTTTTTTTTTCCTTTTTTTAAAATCCCCCCCTTAAAAACCCCAAAAAAATTTTTTTTTTTTTTTTCCCCCGGAAAAAAAAATTCCGGGGGTTTTTTTTTTTCCCCCCTTAATTTTTTTTTAAAGGTCCCCCCGGGGAAATTTCAAAAAAAAATTTTTTCCCCCCAAAAATTTTTTTTTGGGTCCCCCTTTTTTTTTTTTTTTTGGGGGCCCCGGTTTTCCCCCCAAAACCTTTTTTTAAAAATTTGGGGGGGGGTTTTTAAAAACCCCTTTTTTTTCCCTTTTTTTTGGGGGTTTTTTTTTTAAATTTTCCGGAAAAACCCTTTTTTTTTAAAAAAATTTTTGGGGGGGTTTTTTTCCCCCCAAAAATTTTTCCCCTTTTTTTAAAAAAATAAAAAAAAAAAAAAATTTTTTTTAAAAAAAAAACCAGAATTTTCCCTTTAAAATTTCCCCCCCTTTTTTTTTTAAAAGGGGGTTTTTTTTTTCCCCGGGAAAAAACCCCTTTTTGGGAAAAGGTCGGGGGGGGAAAAAAAAGGGGGGAAAAAAAAAACCCCCCTTTTTTTTTAAAAAAAAAGGGGTTTTTTCCCTCCCCCCAAAAGGAAATTTTTTTTCCCCCGGAAATTTTTTTTTTTTTTAAAAAAAAAAAAGGGGGCCCCCCGGGAAAATGGGGGGGCCTAAAAATTTAAAAAGGGGGGTTTTTTCCCCGAAAAAAAAAAAAACCCCCCCCCAAATTAAAAAATTTCCCTTAAGTAAAATTTTTTCCCCCCTTTCCCAAAAACCCCCCCCCCAAAAACCCAAAGGGGTTAAAACCCTTTTTTAAAAAAATTTTTTTTAAAAAGGTTTCCCCAAAAAGGGGGGGTTAAAAAAATTTAGGGGGAAAAATTTTTAAAAAAAAAAAAGGGTTTTTTCCCCCCGGGGAAAAATTTTATGAAAAACCCCCCCAATTTTTTTTTTAAAAATTTTTTGGTTTAAAATTATTTTTTTTTTTTTTAAAAAAAACCCCCCTTTTTTTAAAAATTTTAAGGGGGAAAACCCCCCCCGGGGGGGTTTTCCCCATTTTGGCCCCCCCCTTTTTTTTCCCCCCCTTTTTTTAAAAACCTTTTTTGTTTTTTTAATTTTTTTTAAAAATTTTTTTTAAAAAATTTTTTTTTTTTTTTTAAAATTTTTTTTTGGTTTAAAAAAAAAAAGGGGGGAAAATTTTTTAAAAAAAAAAATTTTTTTTTTTTTTGGGGAAAAAAAAATTTTTTAAAAAACCCCCTTTTTTTCCCAAAAAATTTTTTTTTAAATTTTTTAAAAACCCCCCAAAAAAGGGTTTTTTTGGGTTAAACCCTTTTTTTTTTAAAACCCTTTTTTTTTTTTAAAAAAGGGCCCCCCTTTTTGGAAAAGGGGGAAAAGGGGTTTTTTTTTTTAAAACCCTTTTTTTTCCCCCTTTAAAAGGGGAAAAAAAAATTTAAAAAAAACCCCCCTTTTGGAAAAAATTTTTTTTGGAAAAGGGGGGAAAACCCAAAAAAGTTAAAAAAGGCCCCCAAAAAATTAAAAACCCCAAAAAAAAAAAAAACCCCATTTTTTTAAAAAGGGGAAAAAACCATTTTTTTTAAAAAAAAAAAAATTTTAAAAACCCCCGGGGGGGGGAAAAAAAAAAAGGGGGGGCCCCCCCAAAACCCAAAAAAAAAAAAAACCCCCCCCTTTTTTTGGGGGGGTTTTGGGGGGGGGTTTTTTTTTTTTTAAAAATTTTTTGGGTTTTTTTTCCCAAAAAATTTTTTTAAAAAATGGGAAAATTTCCCCCAAAAAAACCCCCTTTTTAAAAAAAGGGGGGAAAAAATTAAAATTTAAAAAGGGTTTTAAAAAAAAAAATTTTTTTTTAAAATTTTTTCCCAAAAAAAAAAAAAAAAAAAAACCCCTTTAAACCCTTTTTGGGGGGTGGGGGTTTTTTTTTTTAAAATTTTTTTTTTTTTGGGGGAATTGTTTTTTAAAAAAGGGGGGGGGGGGTTTTTTTTTTTGGAAAACCAAAAAAAAAAAAAACCCCGGGGCCCCCCTTTTTTGGGGGGGGTTTTTTTTTTTTTAAAAAATTTTTGGTTTTGGGGGTTTTTTTTTTTTTGGGGGGGTTTTGTGTTTCCTTTTTTAAAAACCCCCCCAAAAAATTTTGGGTTTAAAATTTTTTTTTCCCAAAAAAAAAATTTGGGGGGGGTTTTTTTTTCCCCGGGGGTTTAAATTTTTTTTTTTCCCCCCCCCCCGGGGGAAAATTTTTTTTTTCCCAAATTTTTTTTCCTTTTTTCCCTTTTTTTAAAAAATTTTTTTTTTTTTCCCCCCCAAATTTTTTTAAATTTTTTGTTTTTTTTTCCCCCCTTTTTTTTGGGCCCAAAAATTTTTTTTTTTTTCCCCTTTTTTTCCCCCCTTTTTTTTCCATTTTTTCCCCCCCTTTTTTTTTCCCTTTTTTTTTTCCCCAAATTTTTTTCCCTTTTCCCCCTTTTCCCCTTTTTTTTTTAAAAAATTTTTTCCCCAAGAAAACCTTTTTTTTAATTTAAAAGGTTCCCCCCCTGAAAAAAAAACCCGGCCCCAAAAATTTTCCCTTTTTTTCCCCCAATTTTTGGGTTTTTTCCCTTTTTAAAAAAAAAAAAATTTTTTAAAAAAAAAGGGGGGGGCCCCCTTTTCTTCCCCCAAAAAAAAAAATTTTTTCCGGGAAAAAAAATTTGAAAAGGGGTTTTAAAAAAAAAAAACCCCCCAAAAAATTTTTAAAAAAAAAAAAAATTGAAAAATTTCCCCCCCCTTTTTTTTTAAAAAAAACCCCTTTTTTTTTTAAAAAAAGGGGAAAAAAATTTTAAAAAAAATTTTTAAAAAAATTAAAAACCAAATTCCCCCCTTTTTTTCCAAAAAAAATTTTTTTAAAAAAAGGGGCCAAAAAAAGGGTTTTTAAAGGGAAAAAAAATTTTTTTGGGGGGGGCCCCCTTTAAAATTTTCCCCCCAAAAAAAACCCTTTCCCCCTTTTTTGGGAAAAAAAAAAATAAAAAAAAAAAAAAAAAATTTAAAAAAAAAAAAAAAAAAAAAAAAAAAAATTTTTAAATTTAAAAAAAAAAAAAAAAAAAAAAAAAAAATTTTTTTTGGGGGGGTTTTGGGGGAATGGGGTTTTTTTTTAAAAAAAAGGGGGGGGGGGTTTTGGGGGGGGGGGTTTTCCCCCCCCTTTTTTCCCCTTTTAAAAAAAAATTTTTTTTAAAACCGGGGGGGGCCCCGGGGGAAAAAAAGGGGGTTTTTTTTCCCCCAAAAAAGGGGTTAAATTTCCCTTTTTTTTGGGGCCCCCCTTTTCCCCCCCCTTTTTTTTTTTTTTAAAAAAAATTTTTTTAAAAAACCCCCCCTTTTAAAAATTTTTTCCCCAAAAAGGGGGGAAAAAAAAATTTAAAAAAAAAAAAGGAAAAAAAAAAAAAAATTTTTAAAAAATTAAACCCAAAAAAAAAAAAATTTTTTTGGGTTTTTTTGGGGGGGGCTTTTTTTTCCCCCCCCCGGGGGGGGGGGGAAAAAGGGGATAGTTTGGGGGCTAGACTGACCCTACCTTTAAAAAAGCAGGCCCGCCGGCAATCAAACTAACACTTTCTGGGGGGGGGAAAAAAAAGGGGGGGGGAAAAACGGGAGCTGGGCTTAAACCCCACCTTAACCCAAGGGAGCCGGCCCAAAGGAAAAATATTGTTACTTACACTCCCTCGCCCCCTCCTATCAAATAATAACAGACAATGATAAACACTTTTTTATTTAGAAACAGAAAATGTAAAACAATAAAACATGAATGGGTATCCTAATTGAAAGAAAAATGAAAAATGAAATGAAAAAAAAATTACATTTGAACTCAACGCAAATAGGTATTTTCGTGGTAATGGGGTGTCAGGTGTTGGGACACTGCGTGTTGTTAAAAATCGTAGCTGTTGCTGATGTGGGGGGGGGGTAGCAGGTTTTTGGTGACCACCACCGGCTCGTTCTTCACAGAGGTAGTCCGTGAAGTAATTACTTCAGATGACGGGAAACAGGTTCGTTACCACTGCTATGATGAGGGTTAGGTCCTGTGTTGGCTTACCTAACAGGTAAGTAGATTAAACATGGACGTCTCAGGATGTTAGTCCGTCTCCTTCTATTCTTCTCGTTGGTTGGCAGGTGCCCCCTCTCTGTCATTCCAAGCTGTAAAAGAGACAGATTACCCACTGCTTAAGAAAATCACTCT